TTTTTAATATTACAGTGTGGTAATCCTGGAAATCAGATTCTCCCCCTTCACTAGGGCTTACTTATGTTGAATTTTGATGGTTTCAGTCATCTGCTTGTTTTGCTAAGCCTGACCATCTTTTCCTTGCATGGAGCTCACAGATCCACCAGCTGCAGAAGCCAAGGGACCTGTTAGGTCTTTTCTGAGCACGCATTCCCTGCATTTGGTGTACGTGTGTATGTGAGGGAAGGGGGAGTATAAGACAAAAGTCAGCTTCTGCATTGGTCTCTCAGGAAACCACCAGGCCAGAGTATTTTGATACCACCAGATCATAGTGTTGTAAGAACAAAGTCCAAGGTAAATACCAGTAACTCACACCAGGAATGCAGGCCACAGTCCCCACAGCTGCTGCCCCTGCCACATCAGTGAATGCAGATGGTAATCCAGTGGGTAAAAATGCCGCTGCGTTCTCTTACCAAAACCCAACTGCCCTTTTCTTCAATAAGCAGTCTGCGAGTTACTATAAATATTGGGTCAGAGTTTAGAGTTCCAAAAAAGCTAATTCACTCTTGGACAGCTTGTCTGTTTCAGTAGGGGAACTGCTCTTTTAAGGGCCATACATGCCATTTTCTGGGATGTCATCTAGAGATTGTGTTCTTAACTACTTATGATAGATACTAAAACTATAGAAACCTGCCATGTGAAGAGTAAATACTGCCAGTCAAAACTGTAAGAAAGTAGTTGAGACCTGCACACAAGAGAAGATTATCAGGTAAACTACTAAGGTATATAATTAACACTAGTTCATTTGCTTCTTTATACTTATTATTTTGGGGCATATATTTTTTTCATCATGATGTATGTCACTTCCAAGTGAAAACTATATGTGACTTTACACATGACATGTAACAACTAATTATCAGATTTCCTCATGGCCAGTAGACCAACAGAGGTTGCTAGTGACTCAGATGATTCATGCTCAGCTAAACACCTGAGAAGAATTCAAATGTTTTCCTTCATATCTAATGTCCTTTATCTGTTCCAGGATATCACAGTACAGTTACCTGTCATGTCTCCTTAGGCTTTTCTCCACTGTGACGATTTGTCAGAGTCTGCTTGTTTGAATGACTTGCAAGTTCTAAAGAGTACAAGTCAGATATATTGTAGAAGACTCCTCTATTGAAATTTGTCTGATGTTTTTCTCATGATTAGAATGGGGTTATGGATTTGGAGGAGGAAAACCACATATGTAAAATGCCGCTTTTATCACATATCAAGAGCGCCTACCATCAACATGGCTTATCACAATCGATATTAAACTTGATCATCTGGCTGAGGGAGTGTTTGTCAGGTTTCTCCACTATAACGTTAATGATTCTCCCTCCTCTTTCATATAATACTCTTTGGCAGTAGCCACTATGTGCAACCAATACTTAACAGGTAAGAAGTTATGTTGAGTTATACTCAAGTACCTACATAAATTATCTGAAATTCGGGGCGCCTGGGTGGCTCAGTCGGTTAAGTGTCCAACTTTGGTTCCTGTCATGATCTCACGGTTCATGGGTTCGAGCCCTGCATCCGGCTCTGTGCTGATAGCTAGCTCAGAGCCTGGAGCCTGCTTCTAATTCTGTGTCTCCCTCTCTCTCTGACCCTCCCCTGCTCATGTTGTCTCTCTCTCTGTCTCAAAAATAAATAAAACATTAAAAAAAATTTTTTCATGAAAAAATTTAAGAAATTAAAAAATTAAATAAATTATCTGAAACTCTTCTACGCAGAGGATGCACATTTTAGGCTCACTCAATTACATGATGAAAAGCTGTCATTCTACAAGATTCGATTAACATTATAATCACCAATATTTCCATTCATACTTCCCCCCTCTACTTACAAATAAATTTTTACCAGTATATATGCAAATCCATTATTCCTTTTATGAGCCTATTCTAGCCATCACTATCAAAAAAATTAATAAATTATTTTAAAGATTTAGACACATATGTATCCTAACTATACCATAGCTTATTTGAAAATTATCCCAACAGACAATGTCCCTGGTTGTCGTTACTACAAAGAATTCTACAATTTTGCATATCTGTCCTGGTAAAATTGGGAGATTTTTAGAAAGACAAACAGAATGATGATCCATGACAAAATTAATTTGGCGGATTCCAATAACTTTTTCTTTAAAAAAAAAAAAAAAGAAATAGAAGGAGATAGGAAAGAGAATACATCACAATAAGGTACTTCGGAAGTTATAAAGTAAAGGATTGTTTTGAAAAAGTATTTTTAATTTTTCCCTATGCATATGTATGTATACGAATATGGCACATTGTAGTGAAAAATGTTATTTCAAACTATTTTATGTATACATAAGTTTGAAAAACACCTCTATTAAGTGGAATTGCTGGAATAGACTATATTCTCAACTTTACCAGATAGTAGAGAAGTGTCAGTGACAATTTAGATGCATACCAACAGGATATGAGGTTCCTATTTTCTCTAAATTCCTACAATTGACTAGCACCATCATATTTACCTTATGTCAATCTAAACAGGATGAAATGGCATCCTGTGGTTTGAGCATCTATTTGTCTGATTACTAATGAGTGTGAACATCTTTTCATGTTTTTACTGGCCAATTGAGTTTCCTATCTTTTCAACTGTGTGTCTCTATCTTGTGATCAAATAGGATTACAGTTGCTGTCCTTTTTTCTTTGACGTGTACGTTAGATTACATGCAGGTATATGTGTATGTGTCTCTAGGTATAGATTTAAATATATATATACTTACATATAAATTTGTGGTGCTTTTTGTTAAAGAGAAGTTTTGGAACTTTAATACAATATAATTCACTGAATTTATCCTTTCTGGACTAAATTTTTTCTGTTTTCTATAAGAAAACCTCTCTTATGTCACATAAAAGTAGTTTAAAATTTTTTTTCACCTGTCATTACCTAGAATGTATTTGTGTATGGTGTAAGATAGAGCTCTAATTTTATGTTTTTAACCAATGGACAGAAGCACTAGTATAGCTACCACTTTAGAATGTACTAAGATAAATTCCACTTCAGATACAAATACAGGCAACAAACTTTAAATTCAATTCTTGTCTTTTGCTATTTGTAATAAAAATTGGAAAACTATCTAACAGAAACAGACACAGTTTTTGTTCACAATGAAATACTATACAGCACTGAAGACAAGTAAAGCCACGCCTATGCCAAGGATATACCTCACAAATATAAAAATTGATAAAGAAAAATTTTAAAGGGATTGGCTGTCCTTTTCTCAACACAGCCAAATTTTTTGAAAATAATATCTTTTTCCTTGATTACCTAAATTTCAAACAACTTAAATTGAGCCTTTGTTTCCATTACATCAGAGAGAAAACTTTCACTAATGTACTGTAGTCAATATTTCAAAATCCAGTGGCTTTCAGTCTTCCATCTTCCACTCAATATGTCTTTGTTAACCATGACCACTTTCTTAAATAGCTATCATTCTTGGCTTGCGGACATCGCTACAGCTTTCCTTCTACCTCTCTGTTCAAAGTAGAATGGTCTCTATCTGGTCACTGAGTTTTAGAGTTACTCAAAACTTGCTCTTAGGCTTTCTTCTATTCTTACTTTTACACTTCCTGTCTATTATTTTTAAAATTTTATTCTTAAGTAATCTTCACACCCAACATTGGGCTCAAACTCACAACACTGAGATCAAGAGTCTAATGTTCCACCAACTGAGCCATCCAGGCACCCCTCCACCAGTGTAGACCTTTTTGATCCACCCTTGGCTTCAGCTAGCGACTTCATGCAAGTCTTACAAACAGTTCCAAATCCTTATATGTCACTCCAACCTTAACACATCCACTGGAGACACAAACTGAATATGGTTAAAACCAAACTCATGAAATCCCCCGTGAACCTGGTTTAGGTAGTAACCCTCCTATCCTAACTCCTTAGTGGTTAGTCTCAGGGATGGTACCACCTTCCACTCAGGTAGAGAAAAGAACTAGCAGTCATTCTTCATAATCTTTTCCCGGCTGCATAGCCACGTATTACTTTTTGATTTTGCTTTTTTCAAAATGCAAATCTGAACATCTCTTCCCCTCGTGTAGAACCCTTCAGTGCCTCTCTCTCCCATCCGAATCAACACTCAATATGATGAACAAGGTGTTATACGGACTGGCCTCTGCCCCCCTTTCTAGCCTTGCCTCATGGCACTACCCCCCTTGCTCTATGGCATCTCGCCACATTGGTCTCTTTAAGTAGCCTGTGCTTCCTATTGTTACAGACCTCTGCATAATTGCACTTCCAACCCACCCTCCGTCCTCTCTCACTCCATCGTCTCATGACATCTCGCATTTTTAAGTATTACTTCCTCAGGGACTATGCAGTCCAAACCAAAACCCAAAACCACTACTTCAGTTTGTTAGTCCATAGCTATGATTTTTATAAATTGGATTAATGTCTGTCTCTATCACTTAACCCTAATTCCCTGACAGCAAGACAGGGCTTCTCCAGCACTCATTACAGCTTCAAGTGCTCAGTAAGGACTCAAATGTTTGCTGAATAAATTATTTAGGATTTTCATTTCAAATGTACATGTAATATGTACTCTAGCCACTAGAGGCCACCTTGCTTCTCTTTTTATTCCTCCAGAACACATGAACTGCGAAGATTAAGGATACTTTAAAAAAACAAAACAAAACACCAAACTTTTATGCTTAAGTCACTTACTATACAAAAAATGGCAGTGATTCCAAAATATCATCCTTTACATACCACCAATTTTATTATTGCCTAGTATATGTACATTAAATAACACTATTACTTAATATTTATCTTTAGCCATAGAGACCTACACTAATGCAAATTTTGCTAAGTAGAAATTTCCCAACCACATTCATCATAAACTATTGTAAGGAGAGATCAGCAACTATTACTATTCTGGTATGTGCCCCTTCTTAAATATTTTATTGATAATTAAACCTCTGTGTATTGCGGAAAAGAGAAGTACTTACTGATAAGATGGCCAGTTGATGCGTTATAAGGTCATATGAACAAGTCCATGATTACAGGATGTGAAGGAGAATGAGGAAACTACAGATTTATATAGGAAGCCAATCTTGGAAGCAATTCTACGTCCAACTTCTTACAGCTCTCTGAGAAAACATATTTTAAATCTATTTTCAGCTTACATTTTAGAAAGCAGATCCTAAATTGAAGATATTCCCTTTGTACCCTACTGACCTAATTGCTTTTTCCAGCAATATATACTAATATTGCAATAATTGATAACTGACTATAATAACAACATTTATGGTACTAGGTACCAAGCACTGTGACAAGCACATTCCTAATTGTGTACTTTGATTATCCCCTTGACAGATAGATGTTAAGTGAGACTGAGAGAAGTTAAGTAACATTTTTAAGGTGTTAGAGCAAATAATTGGTTGAAATGAGATATAAACTCTAGGCTCTCGTCCCCAATAAGCACAATCCTCTCATGGACTCTAAGTGCAGATTTCTAAAAATTCCATTACAGAGATGGAAATACTGTATATAAATAATCCATTTCCAATCATGCCCTTTCCATGCCAATCACTAGTCCCTCCCATTCCTCCATTCCAAAAATTGATTCCAATTTCAATCTCTCTGGAAATTTCAATTATAGTAAATATCAGCGATCCTTCTGGCTAATGAATAGTAACAGGATACATTAGCTATTTTGATACTATTCTCCTAAGAGTAGGATTTTTTTCATGTTTTTCTCCCATAGATAGCACAGAAAAATATTTAGAATTCGAACATTAGCAGCTAATGTTCTATAAAACAATATTTTGAACTTTTAGTACTAACAGTGTCAAAAAAAAACTTCTAGCAAAAACAAAAGAAAAAACCCAAAGACTCATTCAAATGAAAATCTTAGTTTACTGAGTCTGGGTAAACTGAAATTAAAGCCTACACTTAACTGTTGGCATACTTTTACATGTAAACCAATAACCTGACCTATGGTTATATAAGAATGCCCTATTTTTATTTTCCACAGAGCTTAAAGGAGATACCTTACTACTTCAGTGTAACATGTAACTCACCTGACAACACAATTACTGCTAACAACTTATTTTGGTACTTACAGGGAGATATACAGAAAGAGAGGAAATTTAAAACCTTGCAAAAGTGGCAATTTATGTGTGCATAAAATAGAAGCTCTTAGGAATAGCATTCCAATACTGTTGACTAGAAACTAACATCCCTTTACCACCTCGGATGGTAATCAAGGGATGACATAAAAGATAAACGTGGAACTTCCAAACTTAGTATACTGTATGTGCTAACATTTGGTAAAGGAAAAGTAAAAGTGTCCAAAGTATCCAAGCTTTAAAATAATTATGCTCCACAGTCAATACCTTATTTCCAGCCTAAATGGCCATGTCAGAAAGACTGCAAGGCATAGTGGAAGAATGGCTTTTTGATTTTAAAGTCCTTTTGAATACTTACCAGTGGAGTTGACTTGACCAGGTCATTGAACATTTCTAGACTCAAGTTTACTTATCTCTCTACTGATGGGGCTGCATTTGATACGTTGAAAGTATTGTTGTGCAAACAGTTTTGAATCCTAAGTGCTCATTGAGCCCCTCAGAGCTTGTTATACAAGCCGAGGCTTTAAGGATTTTTATCCACAGATCCAACGAAATCCAAAACCCAGAGTTCTACAGTCCGGTTACTTTCTCCACCTCCCACCCCTCCCCACACCCCGCCCTTTTACGGCACTAACTCCGAGGCTAGAGGCGGTCTTCAGAAGTCCCAGCGGCCGGTGCTGTGGCCAGGCCTCCAGGGCGGGCAGTCACTTGGCTGGGAAAGGAAGAGAAAGATGTCAACTTGTAACTACCGCCCTGGGCACCTGCTACACGTGCGAAGACAATGTCACCAACTGGCAACACGCAACAACAACAACAACAACAACAACAGTGAAAAGTATTACGGAAGCAGCATGTCCGCGGGCTTGAGGCCAGTTTTGGTGCCACAACACCTGGGCGCTCTGGTCCCCGGGCTTACCTGGGGCTTATCCGGGTCAGGCGTAATCTCGGGATTGCGGCCTCCTCTGCGCCAAAGCAGGAGCCAGCTCTTCTGCAGAGTTCCCCTCTGCCCACTGAAAGATAGATGTTAAGGGAGACAGCCAAGAGAGCGTTCCTAAGCCACCGTCATAACCGCCCCCCAACCACGGGACTCCCCTGAAACCAACCTGCCCAGAGACTACTCTCGCGATAATTCTAGGGCTGCTCCCTTGGTAACGCCAGCCCCTCCCTCCTCCTCTGGCCAATCAGACAGGAGTGTGGGTGGAGTTTTGCCTTTGAGCGGGGAGCGGGCCTTTCAATCTTGGCTCTGTGGCGTTGAGAATGGGCGGGGCTGGGGGCGGGGCTGGGGGAAGGACACGCACCCTTTCTCGCGAGACTGAAGACCAGGAAGACGCCTGCAGAGCCCGGCTGCTGGTGCAGCAGTGGCAGAGGGAGCGGGTGCTGCTGCTTCCGGACCTCCTGCTTCGGAGTCTACTCCTGGTCTCCGGGTGGGGAGGTGGGACGTGGCCAGGCCAGGGTTGTGGAAGTGCGCAGTGCCCGCTGCGGCTTGGGGAGAATTGAGGCTGCGGCCTGTCAGAGCCAGTCAGGGAGGCGCCCACAGTCCTGACAGGATAAGATGGCGGCGATGGCGCCTGGAGGTGGTAGCAGCGGCGGCGGCGGTGTGAATCCATTCCTCAGCGACTCGGACGAGGACGACGACGAGGTAGCGGCGACCGAGGAGCGGCGGGCAGGACTTCGGCTGGGTTCCGGGAGCGGCCTAGATCCTGGCTCTGCAGACTCGCTGTCGCCCCAGGATCCCGTGGCCTTAGGGAGCAGTGCGCGGCCAGGGCTCCCTGGGGAGGTGTCGGCGGCTGCGGTGGCACTGGGGGGCTCTGGGGAGACCCCTGCCCGCTTGTCCATTGATGCGATCGCGGCTCAGCTGTTGCGCGATCAATACTTGCTGACCGCCCTGGAGCTGCACACCGAACTGTTAGAGAGCGGCCGCGAGCTGCCTCGGCTGCGCGACTACTTCTCCAACCCAGGCAACTTCGAGAGGCAGAGTGGGACCCCGCCGGGGATGGGGGCGCCGGGGATCCCTGGAGCGGCCGGCATTGGAGGCGCAGGAGGTCGGGAACCGAGTACGACGTCTGGCGGGGGACAGCTCAGTAAGTGAACGCAGCCTGACACTCCCGCAAGGTGGTTGAGATCGCCGGGGAGGGGGTGTTTCTGGGCAGGTGGTGAGTATTAGAAACGTTTTAGAGAGAGCGTCGGAAAGGGTGGGAGTCTTTGCGGTGGAAGCAAAAGCCTCCGGCGGCCACTGTTGTCTCCTGTGTGCCTCCAACCTTGAGCTGGGGTCTTGCACTTGCTCCTGGGTTCCCCTGTCGGCGTCGGTATCTAAAATATCCAGTTTCTAGTTCACTGGCTGTTACGGGACTGCAGAAGGCTCCCTTGCAAACTGGTTTATCGTTTTAATCATTTTTCCTTTTCCTCTAATCTCCTGAATCACCACTACCAGGAACCTGTGTTTCTTAAATTGCTTGCAGTAATTCTTTGACTCAAAAGTCAAGCGAGAGAAAAGAATAGGAAATGTTCTCTCTCCGCAAAGTCCGCTCCTAAGAAGACAAGACCCTTTGTGTTTGGAATGACTTTCTCACTCTGGAATTGGGGTTTCTGCTGCACAAAATGTGTCTGTTTAATTCAGTGCATTCAGTTCCATTTCGATGCCTTAATTTCAGTAGTTTCCAGAATTACAGGAAATCTAAAGAGCAGGGCCGATGAGTTTTGCCTGTAGGCTATCTCCTGGTTTTCTCTGCATAAAGTAGGAATTTACTTTTTTTTTTTTTTAACCAAGTGATAATCATTCTTAGCGGTATAAAGTAATTGTCGACCCCATCCGTCATTTGTTTTTGAGTGTTTCTTATGGCTTGAAACCGTACCATCAAGGATGTATTCTGTATTCCCAGTGTCCTCTTCTGGGAGGCAAGTTAGATTTTTCCCTTATTAATGCTATGGAGAAGTTTTAGTGTGTCAGATGAGGCCAACTGGAATTTGCTAAGAAATGCTAAGTGTATGATTTTTTCATTGCAGCCTAATTGATTATTTTGCCTCTACTTTTGAATTGTGCCAGAGACTTCCTGCGCCAAATCTAGATGCAGTTGCAAGTGCAAAGAGTACATTTTCTATCAAGGTGAATCCTAGGCAGATTTCCCTCCTCCATATGCAATTTTCGCAGTAGGTACAACTTCCTTATTCAATATGTAGGATAATCTTTTCAGGAAGAGCTTTTCTCAGGGCTGGCCAGCCTCAATGTCCTCTTTGTAAATGCTTTCCTCTCCCGTCACCGCACCCCCCCCATGTTTAGTTAGTTGCTTGTTTCTTTTCTTTTTTTTCCTCAGTGGCGTGTTTCATTGTACTACTTGTATATGTAAACTGTAGTCTTTAATGGTTTGTATTTGGTTTGTTGACAACATCATTTTTCTCCATTAGGTAGGTACTTCTTGAGGGACTTTATATTCCTGACACTCGGTATAGTCCCCGGCCTATTGTTCAACATAACTTAATTGCATCTGCTATTTTTCTACTGTATTAATATAATGAAATAGATTATTCTTTACTTCGTGACTTTATTCTAGTTGAAAGAATTTCTTAGCCTACCTAATTAGAGCTTGATATCACTGTTCATAGTGAAAATTTCTCTTTAAAACTTTCTATATATAGAAATGGTTATATGTAAGGGTACCTGAGTGGCTCAATTGGTGGAATGTCCGACTTTGGCTCAGGTCAGGATCTCATGGTTTGTGGGTTTGAGCCAGACATCGGGCTCGCTGCTGTCAGAGTAGAGCCTGCTTCGGACCCTCTGTCCCTCCTCTGCTCACGCTCTCTCAAAAATGAATAAACACTTTTAAAATATTAGTTATACTTTTAATTTAAACTCTATTTTCAAGGGAATACAAAGGAAATGAATAAAGGAGAAAAAAGTAAAACTTACCGGTAATCTCACCGATATTTGCCTTTCCTGTCTTTTCCATTCATATATGTTAAAAAAAACAAACATTGGATTAAATTATTTTATATAGCTTTATGTTATTTGACAGGCACTATAATATTTATCATCAACTTTGTAAGATTGCATACAACAAAATGCACCTGTTTTAAAATGTACAGTTTGATGAGTTTTGAAAAACTAATCACTACTGCAGTTAAAATATAGAACTTTTTTTAATGTCTTTATTTTATTTTGAGAGACAGAGACAGAGAGCGAGCGGGAGACGGTCAGAGAGAGGGGGAGACACAGAATCTGAAGCAGGCTCCAGGCTATGAGCTGCCAGCACAGAGCCTGACGCGGGGCTCAAACCATGGACTGTGAGACCGTGCGTGACCTGAGCTGAAGTCAGACGCTTAACCGACTGAGCCACCCAGGTGCCCCAATATAGAACATTTTAATCATCCTCAGAATGTCTTCATTTTTCTTGGCATTATATCTCCAGTCCCACCTTTAGACTTCCATTGATCACTATATAACAGTTTTGCAGCCTGAGCACTCTCGAAATGTTGGGCCTGATACTTCTAGAATGTTTCACAGCATCTCTGGCTTCTCTATCCACACTAGATGTCTGTAGCAACCATTCCTACCCCATCTCTCAAGTTGTGGCAACGAAATTGTCCAGGGAAGAGGAGGCCCAAAATTCCCCAGATTAGGAACCACTTCTATACATAAGTTTTGCCTGCTCTAAAATGTCATATAAATGGAATCATGGAGCACATATATTCTCTTCTGTGTGGTTTCTTTTTACATATTTTCATTTCATTTGGGTAATACCTAGGAATACAATTGCGGGGGCATATAGTTACTCTATGCCTAAGTGTATAAGAAACTGTCAAACTGCTTTCCAAAGTGGTGGTTCCATTTAAAATTCCCATCACCAGTGTATGAGAGTTCCATATCCCCTAAACACTATTTTCAGCCTTTTTATTAACTCGTTCTATGAGAGATTGGTGGTAGCTCATGTGTTTTGTTTTTTTTTCCAAATGCTTATTTGTTTTTGAGAGAGCAAGTGAGCAGGGAAGGGGCAGAAGGAAAGAGAGAATCCAAGCAGGCTCCACACTGTCAGCACAGAGCTAGACATGGGGCTGGAGCCCAAGAATCTTGAGATCATGACCTGAGCTGAAATCAAGAGTTGGACACTTAACTAGCTGAGCCACCCAGGCGCCCCTCATTGTGGTTTTAATTTTCATTTCCATGAGAACTAGTAATGCCGAACTCCTTCTGAGCTTTTTGCCATTCGTATATTTTCTTTCGTGAAACGTCTGTTCATGTCTTTAACCAATTTTTTAAATTAGGTTTTTATATATTCTGGACCCAAGTCCTTTATTAATGTGTATTTTTTTGCAAATACTTTTCCCAGTATAGTTTGCATGTCGTTTTTTTAAATTTCAAGTCCAGTTAATCAATTTTATTCTTTAATGATTCATGTTTTTTGTGTCCAGTAAGATATATTTGCCAATCCCAAGGTTGCAGAAATTTTCTCCTACATTTTCTTCGAGAAGTTTTATGGTTTTAGCTTTCACATTTAGGTCTGTGATGGCAGGACTGCACTTCAATTAAAGTTATAAAAAGAAGAACTATTTCTTCAATATTCTTTCTATACATGTGCAAACATTTATAGCACAAACTTTAGAACAGTTTAAATACAAATGCATTGTATATATCAAAATATCAGGGCCTGTACATTTCTTAATCTAGTTAGAAAATAGATAAATGCGAAAATAAATCTGTAAGACTATGCTTAGTACCATGTTTTGAAGATTTTTGACTAAGCTCCGGAATGCACAAATTATATTTTAGGAATTCAGAGGATAAACATTTCTGTAGGATTGGACTACTGCCTGTTTTTAAAGCTCCCCTATATTCAAGTTTAGCATGTTGATTGTTGCTAATTGGATTATGATTTTATAATGCTCAATAAGAACGTTTTGGTTGACTATACAGTGTAAACATAGATGTTTGGATTATCTAAAGCATTAAGTTATTTTTATTTCTTTTTGCATATATTTTGATATATCTCTGATCTGAAAATTTGTAATACTTTGGAAATATAAATATGTAACCAAAAGTAGTTTCTATCATTGATGTCTATAAACAGTTTAATTTTGCAAGATTTACTGAATTACTTACCTAAAAGTCTATTGACCTTAGGTAAATACTATAATATGATAGTGCTTTTAAAATATTTTAAGAAGTCTTCATACTGTGTTTAATCTTTTTTTCTTGACTGAAAGAGTAATCCATGTTTATAAAACATTCAGACGGTAAAAGTATTACAGCTTTATAAGTTTGGTATTTTCATTAGAAGAATTTTATTATTTGAATGGCACACGCTATGTATTTTTCCTCTGTATTTTTGCCAGTTGGGCCAGAATAAACTTCCATTTAGTAATTGTTTCACTTTTCAGTTAGACTGCAAGATAAAAATTGCGGCCCTGTCATTGATTAACACTGAGCAGATTGTGGTATCTTTGCCAGAGGAATGCTGGTTTGAAGTCCTCGAGCACGAGTCCGAATTGGACTGGAATTTCAGAGAGGAGCCCAACTTTTTTTTTTTTTATAGTAGAGACAGTAGATGATCAAATGGAGAAGCCAGATGACTTCATGCCTGTCAGTGATGGATTTCTTTTATTCTGTATTTACCATGTCTCCAGGTTTTTATAACATAGCTTGTCAGGAGGCAGTCATTGATGAATGTGATCATTTCACTTGTGAGTCTTCAGCCCTCTTGAGTCATTTTCCTCCTTTTTAAAGTTTTCTGTTTTATGATCCTACCTCTCTTCTCTCAGAATTCTCAAAGAGTATGTATCTCACTGTGTTCAGTATTCCTTTTTCAGTATCACCAATGCTAAGCTGTCATGATTACAGTTTTCCAACGTTCCCATCTTTTCTACTCTACAAAGTACTTGTTGAAATTGGGTTTAGTGCTTCCTCTGGCTTCTGAGAAAAAAATATCAATAAATATTGCTAAACTATTTCAATACAATAATTTGTTAGTTTCACTGCTTTTAGCTGAATGAGACTTTCCGCTATTGTCTAGATCATATACATTTCCTAAATTTATCTGTTGCATAACTGCCATTTTTGCCTATGCCTTTCTTGTAGTTTCAAAATTATTAT